ATAATATATAATATATAATATATAATATATAATATATAATATATAATATATAATATATATAACGTATATGATAAAATATATATAATACAAAAATATATATAAAACATAATACATAATACACAATATATAATATATAATATATAATATATAATATATATAATATTATTATATATTATATATTATATATTATATATTATATATTATATATTATATATTATATATTATGTATTATATATATATACAATATATATTTACATATTTAGATATAAATATATTTATCTATTTAGATATAAGTATATTTATATTATACATATACATTTATATATAGATATATATAATATAAACATTTTATACATCATATATATATAAATATATATATATATAAATACATATATAAAATATATTAAAGCAATACACGTGTCAATAGTTAATAGGGTAAAAACAGAAATAAAGATGAAACAACCGCGTGGTTCGGGGTCATTTTGTGCCATCAGAACCTAACATAAATTTATTATACCGCTATTTCTAACTTTCATCAATAACAGAAATAAAGGAAATTATATTAATACAGCAAAATTTTCTAATCCTACACATATAACATTCATTGCAATATTTGCGAGAAGCCAATAATATAATATGTGTTTATAACAGGCCGGGGGATGCAAAAATGATAAAGAAAGGATCAATATCCTTTGATATTCCAGCTGAGATGGACCAAAGCTCTTTAAGCATTTTGGGTTAAAAACCAAGCGAATGTTTATTAACGGCACCGGGACACTGCTGGGTCCCCCTAAATTCACACAGCCCTGAAAACAGGTGAATACAGGATTTATTATTAAATTTATATTTATATTTATTTTTATCAATTTCTATTTCTATCAATATTTCTATTTCTATTTATATTTATATTTATATTTCTATTAATATTACTATTAATATTACTATTAATATTACTATTCATATTACTATTCATATTTATATTTATATTTATATTTATATTTATATTTATATTTATATTTATATTTATATTTATATTTATATATCTATATCTATATCTATATCTATATTTATTAGTTATATTTATATTTATAAATCTATACTTATTATTTATGTTTATATTTATTTATTATGTTTATGTTTGTTTATGT